AAAGATCATCATAAAGCCTTTCAGGAGGTTGGGTGGTGCAGTGGTTCATGCCTGTAATTCCAGCACTTTGGGAGGCTGAAGCAGAAGAATCACTTGAGTTCGACACCAGCCTATGCAACATAGTGAGACTTAGTTTCTTAGAAAAAAAAAATTAAAAAATTAGCCTGGCATGGTGGAGCAAGCCTGTAGTCCAGCTACTCAAGAGGCTGACGAAGATCGTCTGAACCCAAGAGGTCGAGGCTTCACGGGCCCTGATTGTGTTAGTGTACTTCAGCCTGAGTGACAGAGTGAGACCTTGGCTAAAAACAAACAAACAAACAAACAAAAGTTTTCAGGGATACAGTATGATGAGAAAAATAAGGACTACATAGAAATTTTTTTCTATTAAGTTATATAGTTATTCAATATAAGAGACTTTATTCAGCACCTATGTTCTTCCTATTTTCTGACATCGAGATATTACTTTTTGTGAAATTATATGGACAGGAGGTGGTAGTTATTCTTAAAAATTTCTTATAAAAATTGAAAACTGGCACTCCCATAACACTTCTCCAATACTAGAATCACTGCTCTAGGCCATGGAGCTGTGCTGCCTTACTAAGGTTGGTGTAAGTCAGTAGTCCCCAACCTTTTTGACATCAGGGACCAGTTTTGGAATTAAATCCCATGAATTTAACACATGGAAGACAATTTTTCCATGGACGGGGATGGAATGGGGAGGGGATTATCAGGCATTAGATTCTCATAAGTAGTGTGCAACTTAGATCCCTCGCAAGTGCAGTTCACAATAGGGTTCGCGCTCTTATGAGAATCTAATGCCACCGCTGATCTGACAGAAAATGGAGCTCTGCTCACCCACCACTTACTTTCTGCTATGTGGCCTGGTTCCTAACAGGTCACAGACTGGTACTGGTCCATGACCTGGGGGTTGGGGACCTCTAGTGTAGGTCATGCTGCAACATTTAAACTTATGCTGCAAGGAATGAGAAGTCATTTAAGTATTTTTAGTTGTACAATTACAAAGTTTAAATTTTTAGCGTAATTATTCTTTCATTAGCATTGAGAATGGGCAGGAGGAGGATGAGAGAAAAGACAGGGAGATCAGGAGGAAGGTTATCTTAATAGCCCAACAAAGACATGGTGAGAACCTTGGATTAAGGTGAAAGAATAGAGAGAAAGCGATGGTTTCAAGAGATACTGAAGTGGTGAAGTCAGTGGATTTGGTGACCAGTGAGAAGTTGAGTATGCAGGAAAGATGGAATCTAGGACTATCCCCAAGTTTCCAACAGATAGCACTTTGAAAGGCAGATCTATTCCTAAGATTTCTGTAGACATGAAGGAGAATAGGTTGGTGAAGGGATAGAGAGACGACAAATCTGGTTCAGACATGTTTTGATTTTGAGGCCAATCAGATGAACAAGATTTTAAAATACTGGTTCTATCTCACCAAGCTTCTGGGGTGAAAACGATTATCTAATGTAGGCATGAAACCTGACACAGGTTTAAATACTCAAGCTCTAAAAATTAAATTTTTGCTACATGAAGTAAACATTCAAAAAAGTGTACAAAATTAATCTTACATGTGGGTATGGAGTTTCATCACATGACTACTGCTATATTGTGATCATAATCACACTTCACTGGTGAGAGGAATCAGAGAAACAGAGAACTGGCAAAATGTCTGGAAGGCTGACAGGTTATTTTGGACCTATCAGAAAGACTAAAATAATAGTTGTAAAGTGCTTTGAGATCCTCAAATGAAAGATGCTCAGAAGAAGACAAATAAATGTTGACTGTGAAGATGTAGCCAGAGGTATCTTTAGTTATCCAATAAAGCCTGTAGATAAAAGACAATGACTTGAAAACAGACATATCTGGCTTTACTTCTGAATTTCTACGCTAGATGAATAGTAACATATCAAATGTGCCCTTTAAAAAAATATGAACACTTGGGGTGACCGCAGCTTCCCAAAGACAGAAATGAATTTAACACAATATCCATCTCTGGACAATGAAATTCACATTCCCTCCCCCCACCACCCCAATTAAAGGAAAAGAATCTCGACCTGACAATCTGCCCTTCAGTATCTCAGACCCAGGCCGAGGGCAGATCTAGTGACCTCCTCCTGAATAAAAAGGGGAAGGGGATTGGGCAGTAAATTCTGTCCTGGCGAACATCAGCCCGGCAGTAAATCGGAATCCTCTCTGTGCCCTCTTTATTATCACATTCACAGCATGAAGTTATGAGCTTCCTCACAGCTCCTGCTATAAAAATGTGATGGATGGTAGGGAAACCTCAGGGAGTTAATCTATTCTTCCATTAAATTTTACTTTAATTGGTCTGTGAGTCAATCAGAAACTCACTAGACAGTGAATTAAGAAAGAAAAGAATGAAATAGAAAAAGAGCTTTCTTTTGCAGTTACTATATTATAATGCAGGATTATTCTTCCATTGAAAGAAAAGGGAGACTGTTGGTCCATACAAATAATCCCTTGCTCTGCAAAGAAAATGAGAGAAAAAACAGGCAACCATGAATCCTACTCACTGGTGACATTAATACATATGACATTTACACACACTCACATATACCCCACCAAGGGAAAGCACGCCTCTCAGGCACCCCCCTCCCCACCAATAGTAATTAGAATGAGAGAGAGAGAGAGAGAGAGAGAGAGAGAGAGAGAGAGAGAATGAACTTGAACCACTGCCTCTAGGAAAATTAATACAAAGAAAAATAAGCTTTTAAGAACCTTTATCATCAGTAACATAACTCTATAGGTGCAGAAGAAGTTGATGTTAAAGACCAAGGATGGATCAGCCGAAATGTTCACAGGTTCAGTTAGCAAAATGTTTGTACAGTATTTAAGGCCATAATGGGCTCTGATAAAGATTCTCAGAATCTAATAATGGCCTCTCTGGACTTCTTGTCTAATTAGTGGAATAAGGAGCGAGCCAGCTTGGAACTGAGCATTGCTAGAGATGAGGAAGAGGTGGAAAAAAAGCCAAAGCTGAAAGAAAAATAAACCAGAGCAAAGCAGAAGAAAAACAAGAGCAGCCAGGGCTTTCAAAACTGCTCCTGAGCTGACAACTGAAGTTTATGCCTTGAAATATATGATAATAAGGTTTTATGGGAGTGAGCCCCAGGGACCCAAATGTCTCTCTGTAAACAACGGACTTCAGGGAAAAGCCAAGGTTTGAGGGATGTACTCAGTCTCCACTCACGATAAAAAAAAAAAAGAAAAGGAAAAAGGCAGTGAAGGCAGGAAATAACTCCCTTCTTTCTAAGCGTGGAACCTTGAGTTGCAGCAAATGCCCTCTGAGGGCAAAGACAATTGACAACCGGTGTAGAAATACAGTCATCCTATGTTCAGACAAGGAATTTAAGCCTCAGCAGCCCCAAAACCTGAGGTTGTACGAACAGAACCTAGTAAAGTGCTGCCTGTCCACCCTGAACACATGGGCAATATATGTCCAGAAACCAAATGGTTTATTGTGCTGTGTGGTTCCAGTGGAATTACTGGAGGGACATCAGAGTGACCTAATCCTTGAAGTGTGTGCTACTTATCCCGGTGCTGTAAAGAGTTAAACCTGAACGTGCTGCCTGTTTCCTCTGGTCCACGGTCCAGGGCAGGTTACCTAGAGAGACATAACCAGCTGAGCTCCATACTTAGTATGACGGTTTCCTTTGGAGACCAGGGTCAGGTAAAGCTCAAAGGTAGCCTTAAGCAACTGCTGAATGATGAGAGTCCCTAGCGTATTCTGAGACTAAATCAGGTTGCCTCTAAAATTCTTCATCCTCAAAGACAACAGCTCCATCCTCTTTTTATAAATGTGAGGCCACGAGACAGTAAAGTGCTATTTCTATTGGCATTAGTTCCACCTTATATATTAAAAAGGTATTTGTTGTGCCCTAATCACTCCAGGTCCAGGATCATAAGGGACCTTGTTTCTTGGTGGGAGGCTATAGTGTGAAAAGGTTACTTAGTCATCACTAGCCTCTAGCGATGCTGGAACACCACACATGGGGCTCCTCAAACAGGAAGTCAAAGCCAGGCCTGACCCCTGGATGAACCCGGTGCGTTTTCGGGCAAAGGACCTAGTGAGTCTCCAGGGACCGTGCTGCCTTGTGCCTCTGTGTCCGTATGCATGTGTTTACTCCTCTGTGTGCATGTGTGGAGGTGGGTGGTACTGGAGGGAAGGAGGGTGTGAAGGTTCTGGATAATTATGAAAATTAGATCTTTTACAGCAGGCTTCAAGCTCAATTTGGACTGACAGCTCATGAACAGATCATCTGAAGTCTTAATAGGCCAATGCCGGTTCAATAGTTGTATGGTTAAATCATGCACATTTGTGCCACAGCTGACACAGAAAGCAGGCCCAGATGCTTCAGATGGAACATGCAGATGAGTCTATATTTAACATTCTCCCTCTCCAGGGAAGCCCCAACAAAGCAAAACAAAACACATCTAAAGCCACGCTTAAAACTTTTGCTAGCCAAAGAAACACACCAGCATTTTTTTTTACTCTAAAACATCTAGTAGGAGGAATGATATATAATTTATAAAGTGATTCTAAATATATTTCATATTGCTGTCTTTTCAAAATACTTCTGAATCCAGCAGTAACAGAGATTATCTTCCAAATGGTTTAAATTCAAAGTCAACTGGGAGTTTTTTCAGTTTTTAGATATCTGTCCCCAAAGCACTGACTCTCCTGTCTTCCATTCTTTGGTGGTTGTTTTTGGTAAAATGATGTCAAGATATCAAGGCTCCTGACACATCCTGAATTTTGAAAGAATGTGCTTCCTGAATATTCCTGATAAATGGGCTTAGTATGAAAGGGGTTAATGAGGTTAAGCTAAGGCAGCATTTCCTGCTTGAAGGAGAACTGAGTCCAACAACATGAAAAGCACTTTCTTATTATTTTTTCTCTGTGCTCGCAGTACCCACCTCTCCTTAACGATTTACCTGGGGGGAAGGGATAAGGCAATATCGCTAACCTGCCTGGCATCTGGTTTCCAGCAGGGAGGGGGGCTCGTCCAGCCTCACCCCTCGGGCTTCTTTAACTGAATTAGCCGTATTAAGTGCCTTGGTAGCCCAGGGAATGAACATCGTCGATCAGTGCCCAGGAAGGCATGTTTGCAGGGTATAATTCTGCCGGAGGAGAATGGACTCCCCAGCACATGGGCCTAAACTGCAGAGTAACAGAGCCCTAAATCTCCAGTTGCAGATTTACAGCCTCCATTCTCCTTCTTTACTGCAAATACAATCCGGCAGTAATGGTCTAACACAGCAACACCATCACCAACTGGCTGATGGCTCGCATAAAAGCAATGTCAACCAAAAACTATGAGTTTATAAAAGGGAACAAACCCTCAACAGTGACAAGAACATGAAACCCATTAACAATTTAAACACTCTCCATTTTTTATTTCCCACCTTGAAGCCATTATTGCTGATAGAAAGCTTCTCAATGGAGTTAACCACTGCAAGGAAGGGTTAGGAAGCTAGCTTAACTCCTAGGACAAGAGGTTATGTGGCTTGAACCATGGCGATGGCATGGTATGAACCTTTTTAATAGGAATGCCACCATGTAACCTGTAGCTCAAAACAAGGTCTTGGAATATTGCAAGTGTGATAGGATTGCTCCTAGTAGGTCTATCAAATTATTCTCAGAAATCACACTAAATAAATATGGTTGGGATTGGACTTGCTGGCCTACTGGACATGCCAGGACTTGAGCCTGTACCATAGAAGAAATGTAACCATATTTTTTGGAGGAACTTCTATAAAAATCAAGGCTTACCTCTTGGTGTTATGATATTCAATGTTTAAATGAAGTTTTATCTCAGTGGTAGCTCTAATCCCTTGAAAGGACATTGTCACCAGAATATTTCCACTTTGTAAATTGACCATACCTGGTCTGTGAATTAAAGTGTAGCGTGTCACACACTATTACCTCCCAGCCTTTACGTAATCAGATACAAACATTATAACTAATTTGCCCAACTTAACTACAGGACTCACCATTAAAAAAAAAAAAAAAAAAAAAATATATATATATATATATATATATAACTATGGAATTTTCTGGGATAAAACACTTGAGTCAGTCATTTTCTCTTCCTTTCTCTTCCAGGCTTCTCCCCTCCCCCATTAAAGATGAAGATAGGATCTTAAGGAGCTATATAAGATCATCATTGGGTGACTTACCCCAAAACAAAAATTCTTCCCTTTGTTCTTTAAATCAGACAAATCCAATGGCAATAGAAAAGTTGCTCCCTATGTCATTTTGAGCTTCTTGCATATGTAATCTGGCAAACAGTTCATGTTTTAGAAATAGGATCTTAGTACTATAAAGGAAAGAAATCCCATTTTTGCAAAAGAAAAAAAAAGGCCATGCTGAACATGGTCACATATAGCCACACAAATAGTGCCAAGGAAGTTAAAGGCCCTGATTTACATATATTTGCTGATTATTTGAGCAATTTGATATAAAATTTAATCTGTACTAATGGGCCTGGGGGAAGCACAAATAAAACTGAGGAATAAATACTTGTTTTGCAGTAAAATGAATCCCATCAATATATATAAAGCATAGGTTTCAGTGATGCGTGAGCTATTGTATTGTATGAATATTCTGATATTTTTGGCACTTAAAAATGTATTACTTCACAAAGGACTATCAGCCTGACTGTAGGTGCTTAACCTGGGCTGGTATTAAAAATAGTTCATTTCATTTTGCTTTTGTTACATGAACATGGGTTTTTGAACCGAGCAAATATCACACCTGTTGGTTTTGTGTCTTCTCTAAGGAAAAGAAAGAAAAAAGTTGAGGAGAGGAAAAATAAGAGATGTTCAGTGAAAGACAAGAAACAAGGAACTAACAAAATAAAAGTTATTTCCACCCCAGGGAGCAAGCCAATCAAGCTACAATAATTCTAGTTATAACAGTGTCAGAAAATGGTTAGCCTTAATGCCTGATAATGACCAGAGCTAATATGGCTGTGCTTTCAGTGTGGATAACGTTTAAGGAAGTAGCAGAAAGCATGGCAGCTTTCCTGGACTATACAATCAACTCCAATGAAGCCTTTTCTCCAGCTTGAGTCATAACCATAAATACTGCCCCATCCCCACATTCCAGTAACAAAGTCCTTCCTTCCTCCCTCGCCCCTAAACAAAGGGGACTACACTGGGTTTGGTGGGAACATCTTGAAATAAGATATCACTCCCCAAATGGAAGGAAGTCACAGGGGAGATTGACGCCATAAAGGTAGTTCTATCCTATTGAAACGCCAGCAGATGGGGTCATAAACATTTCCTTCTCCCCTTGCTAACAGCCACCGAGTCAGCTTCATCTTTATCTTTATCTTTATCTTCCTGTCAGGTCATAAATACCTCTCACTCAAGCCTCACTCACAGCTGGGCCATGCCAGGCAAGTTTACTTCCTGTTAAGGGCTCATTTAGAAGTAGGTGGGGGAAAGAAAATGGAAAACTTTGCTGATGAGACACAGTTATATATATGAAAGGACGCTTGGGAACCTCAAAGAAGGGGTTTGGCCAGACTGAGAAATGACCAAACTGCCTAGCAAAAAGCATGACGATCTGCTTAGAAGAAGATGCTTTCACAGGGAAAACGGATCATGTACAAACTTACCCTTGTAACAAACAAGACAAACAAGCTGAATAGGACACCATGGGCTTTTGTTCTTTCTTCTAGAACCTCCAAAATGATGACTGGTTTCTTTCCATTTGTTCATGGTTCTAAAGCCTGGACCATAATCATAGATAATGGAAACAGAAGATTTCTAGACATAAGTAACTTATACAGAGTCTTTGCTTAGGCCAAAGTTTGAAGAAAGAAGGCACCCCTTTACTTTTAGAATTTGGGCACATCAAGGAGTGGCCTCTCTTCCCCTCCTGGGGAGCAGTATTTAGGCTTGGGAAACCACCTGCCTGAGGGACTGTTGACGGCTCCAAAATTGTAGCAGCTAGCATAGTAGGAACCTGGAAAATGGCGGCTATCTTCTTGACTTGACCAGAGCAACTGCTTCTCTTGGATTTCTGGGATATCTGAGCTTTTCCAGTATGGTTACAGTCTTTATAAAACACAACCCACAATCTGATTTTTTAAAAGCAGCATTCTGATAAACACATCCTGATAAAAACAGCTGAGTCTTCTTAAATAGTGATAGTGACAGGTTGTTGTTTATAAGAAAGTAGATTTTTCACTCAGACAGCGGTTGGGTAAAGTACCTTTATTATGCTTTGAGAATGGCTAACCTGTACTAGTTTATTTTACTCAGTCTTTAGATTTTTATATGTGATTTTTAGATACAGTGTGACTTTGAAGAAAGAAAAATGAAGATAAGTTAAGTTTTCTATGGTAGTTATAACAAATGGGTTTGTATTCCAGTCCTGCCACCAGACTAGTTGTGTGACTCTGGGAAAGTTACTTAACCCCTGTGTGCCTCAATTTCCTAATGTATAAAACGGATACAATAATCATCCCTTTCTCATTAGGTCGCTATAAAATTAAATATGTAAATCACTCGGAGCACAGCTTAGCACATTGTAGGGGCTACATATATTTTAACTTACATATAGAATGGAACACTTAGGTAATTTAGTCATCTGTATGGTATCTAAAGCAAAGGATATTGATTATATCCGTAAACAGCTTCAATTGAGCTGAATAGTAGACTTTGGATTGGCATTCAATGGTTTCCATAAATTAGGCTGATTTACCTTTACAGCTCTCTCTCTCATCATCCTCCCACAATTAAGTAACCCTTGTTAGACTGGACTGTTTCATGTTTTCTGAAGACATCCTGCACTTCCTCACACCTACACCTTTGTGGACGTAGTGTCTTTGCTCTGGAGTTTACCATTCCCACTTCTCTCTCTCTCCATCCCTACCTGTTACAATCCTAGCACAGCAGAGATTCTCGCATTCAAATGATAAGCCTTTATTTTATTTTTATATCCATCCTTCAAAGTCTGATTCAAATACAGTGCTTCATGGATCATGGAGTTCAGAAGCTAGAAGAACTTTAGAGACCAAATGAGCGAATTTCTCCTTTTGCTAGGGCCTGCAGAGGCTAAGTGATTTGCCCAGACACCCAGTTACAGCTTGGGCTAACAATTCAGGTCTCCTAACAGTGAAAAATCTGTGAGGGCAAATTGCCAAATCTTCCTGGTCCTCCTCATCACTCTAATCTAAACTGACCGGTCTCCTTGGAGCTGCGATAATACTGACAGTAGTGATCACACAGCATCTTGAACTGCTGTTATTTGGGTATACATCTTACCTACCATGCCATTTCCCACGCACCCCTGATACCTCTGTCTCTATCCCTGGAGTTCTTAGAAAGGAGCCTTATAACCAGGAGGCACTCAATAAATATTTGTTGAATTAATGCATGAGTGAATGTTAAAAAGGAGAAAGTTAAACAACTTTTCCCACTCACTGACTCATACCTCTCATAGTCTCAGAGTTCTTTCTAACCCAACTTTCCAGTTCCAGTGCATAATAAAGGAATAGCCTCACAACTGCAGAAAAGTTAGTGAAAATTAAGAATCATGAAACATGGAGTAACTCACTTACTTTACAAAAGTTTGTGAGTGCCGAGTGCCTCACTGTGTGCATTTCACTGCAAGATATTCACAGGGGATGTTGGACCAATAATTGACCAACATAAGAGACCATAGCCTGCCTTCCTGTTAGTTGTATTCTGTTTGGAAGAACTATGTCCAACACGACCAGTGATCTGTTAACCAAGCACCACAAAAGCACCTACATGATAATGAAGGCAAATGGCTCAAAAAAGACATTCAGTGAGGCTAAGGCAAGCAACAGCTGTTACCAGGAACCTCCCAATACCATGTAGCATGTCTTATGTTGTCTCTTTTATGGGTCTCTAATTTGCAAGCTAAGCCTAATACTTCTGATTTGTTCCCTCTATCATTCATTTTCTTTACTCAATAATTATTATTTTTTTTTCGAGTTGGAGTCTCACTCTATTACCCAGGCTGGAGTGCAGTGGTACGCTCATGGCCACCCCAGGGTTGACCTGCTGGGCTCTGGCAATCCTTCCGCCTCAGTCTTCTG